AGAGTTGTTCAAAGTGAAACGTCGATAGCTTTTGTTGGAAGTCTCTCGTTTGGTTGTGCTGCAGAGGCTGTTGAGCCTTCGTCGAAGCTTCGGGGTGATTATTATGATTACCCGGTTAATGTATTGTGCCGATACTAAATTTATCGTTCGATAATCGACGGTTAATGGATTATCGGTCTATTGTACAGGGTGGAACACGTAAAACAGCCCATCTAATTATCTACTCTAGCTATAATGGTATCAGAAAAGTTTTATACGTAATTTAAATGGTTCCATAAGGTGAATAATATGAAAGACAATTTTTTTCTGTTTTTCCTTTGTTTCAAGGTTTCATGTTTTTTTTAAATGATCTTGGACTTTCAAATTTTAAATCAAACGTGAGACTTCCTTTCAGTTTTTGTTATTTCTTGCATCAAAAAAATTGTTCTTTCACCTTAATAACCCTTTTGCTACGGCAGATTTTAATGCACAACGTGGGTGACTGACGGTAAACTTTTAACTACGGCTGTAAAGTTTATCATTTTGGCCGCACCGTTTTAAAATTCGGTTTATCGAGTATAGGATAAAATTAAGCATTAAATTATGGCGGAAGTGCACCAAAAGGCCCCAACAGTACAGCGCGAGCAAATTTTCAAAACGCCCCTAAGCGCCAATAGTAACGAAAGCGTTAACAAAAATTTTCTCGTACCACCATACAGAAGACAATTAGGTGGTCTGTCTCACGTGACCCACCCTGTATAGAAAGGAGCAAGAAAACACTCTTCGCCTAATGAAAATCCTACTTAGATGAACTCCTACAGATTACCAACAACACAGTCCATGTTAACAAATTTTTGCCTCGTCCTAACAAGTAGCACACAGCTGTTTCAATCCTCAGTTCCACCTGCTGCGCTTTTCATAACTCAGTTCGACGCAACACTCGACGAAACATCAAACGAAATATTCCAAACGATCCTTTCTGAATCATCGCGAAAATAGAGGAAATCACGAGGAAAATACATCGTGCGTACACTGCACACAGGTATCGGTTGTAAACTCGACAAAAACTAGAGAAAAAGAGAAGCAGACGATAGGCTATCCACGCGTATCAGAGTTGTGTGCTTGAAGCGAGGATATGCTGGTTTCGCGTGAAATCGAAACCCAGTTCTGTTAGATCGCAAATATTGTTGCGTTCGCCTTTTGACAAGCTGCACCGTTAAACCTTCGCTCCAGA